CCCATGGGCCCTGCAGGGCAGGTGGATAAGCAAGAGATAGGGACTAGGCAGGCTGAGTGCTCCAAGATGCTCACCAGGGCAAAGCCCAGCAGGGCCCCAGGGTGAGGGCAGGCACTGGGACCCAGAGCCTCCCTCGGCTTACTCCTCCAGTGTGGCCACGGTCTCCTGGGTGGTCCTTCTGGCCTGGGGTCTCCCCTCTAGTTTCCTGGGTGAGGGAGTACTTGATGCGAGGTTGCACTGGACATTTAGCAGACTCCAGGGTCACCAGGTGTGGGGCCGTGGGCATGTGACCCCGCCTCCCAGGGGCTTCCTTGTTTTCCCCACCCAAACCTGTCCAGTGTAAATGCCTGCCATGGGAGTGGGGACAGCTGGGCGCAGGTGGAGGTGCGGGGAGAGCCTGGGACTTTGGAGGGGTCTGAAGCCCTGGGGCCGTGTTCCACCAAACCCTGCCTCCCACTCCCTGCACCACACTCTGGTTCTCAGGGGCTAAATATAAGATCCAGCCATACATGGTTGCATGAGGGCCTGGGATGCCCCTGACCTTTGAGGCCAGTCTCTGGGGACTACGGTGGGGACGGCATCACAGCCAGCTGGACCCAGGCAGCGCCAGGGGTGGGTGGAGGTGAGAGCATGGTGTTCTGCTTTGGGGACAGGTCTGGGCTGCAGTCAGCGTGTCGCCCCTGACCAGGTGTACCCCATGTGCCCAGCGTCCGCTCCTCACTGGTGTGCCCTCCACCCACCAGAGGCAGCCAGGCCCGGGGAGACTGGCCTGGCGGGGCTGCTGCCCGCTGGGGGCAACTGGAGCCCCGTGACCCGCCCCTCCTCCCAGCCCTGCTGCCAAAGCTGTGGGCGGCCTGGGAAGCACCCAGAAAGAAGAGGGCGCTTTGTTGTGTCAATGCCACTGCCCAGTGCTGTTCCAGCCAGCGTGGCCACTGCAGCCCATCAGGATCCAAGTTCTGCAGGGACGGCAGGTCCTCTGACCCTGCTCTGAGCCTCAGGTCCTCGTGGGAACGGGGGACTCGCTGCCTGTGCAGGCCCAGGGGAGCCCTCACTGAGGCCTTCCCAGCTCCGCAGGGCTGGAGCTGGAAGCATGAGGGGAAACTGAGGCAGCGGAAAGTGGCATCCCCATGCCATGGTGACAGCTGGGCCCTGGCCTCCCCTCTGGCTGAGCTGACGGCCCTATCCCTCTTGGACCCTGCAGTTTGGCAAGATGTCGGTGAAGGAGGGAGCACAGCGCAAGTGGGCAGCGCTGAAGGAGAAGCTGGGGCCGCAGGACTCGGACCCCACGGAGGCCAACCTGGAGAGTGCCGACCCTGAGCTCTGCATCCGGCTGCTCCAGATGCCCTCCGTGGTCAACTACTCAGGCCTGCGCAAGCGCCTGGAGAGCAGCGATGGCGGCTGGATGGTGCAGTTCCTAGAGCAGAGCGGCCTGGACCTGCTGCTGGAGGCGCTGGCCCGGCTGTCGGGCCGTGGCGTGGCTCGCATCGCGGACGCCCTGCTGCAGCTCACCTGCGTCAGCTGCGTGCGTGCCGTCATGAACTCGCAGCAGGGCATCGAGTACATCCTCAGCAACCAGGGCTACGTGCGCCAGCTGTCCCAGGGTGAGCCAGTCCTGCCCAGGTGACGTGGGCGCAGCCCCTGGCTGCCAAGCACAGGGCAGGCCTGCAGGCCGCCTCTCTCCCTCCACCACTCGCGCGGGGTTGTCCCCGTTCTCCCTCCGCCCTGTGACTCCATCAGCCCTGTGCTGGCTCCACCCCTGGCTTCAGGCCCTGGTTCTCACAATGTCCACCTGAGTGGCCCCCACATATGCTCCACCTGGCTCCAAGCCCTTGGACCTTAGCCATCGCAGCCCCATGTCTGGCCCGCTCCTGCTATTGCTGACCACCGCTCAGCACCCTCCACAGCTCTCCACCCTGCTGTCCGCCCTCCTGCCCCTAGAGGGCTTGTCCTTCCTGGCAGGCAGACCCTGGCCTTGGCCTCTTGTGCCTACTGCTTCCTGCCTTGTGGCCCCAAGGGCTTTATGTTCTGGCCCCAGGGGGTCTCCGCAGGCTGTGGCCAGAGTTCATTGCGGCCTCTGTGAGACACATGGCAGTCTCTGTGTCCTCTGTCCCCCAGCTGTGCTGCTCCAGGGTGGCTCTCAGGCTCCAGGGACAGTGGGAACAGCAGGGGCCTGTGTGGTGAGGAAGCCAGAGGCCACCCATCGCTTGTCCAACGTAGGCCCACACCAACCTCAGCCCCTTCTAGGCTGGTCCCGGCTAGCCCCTGTCAAGCCCTGTGGCCTGTTCTCAGCAGGACGGAGGAGAGACCCCTCCGGAGCTTTCCCAGCTCGGGAGATGGGGTGGAAGGCAGAGGTTCAGGGCAAGAGACATCAGGCTGTCGGGAAAACAGCCCAGAGCCAGCGGCAGGGGCCATCCTAGTCCAGCCTCATCTGACCCTGGGAGTGCTGGGGTCACCTTCCCCTTCCTCCAGGTGGTCTGGGAGGCAGGCTCAGCTTGGCAGGCAGGGCCCTGTGCCAGCACCTACTGTGGGCATGGGTGAGCACACAGCGCCCCCTGGTGTCTATGTGCCAGGGAGGGTGGATCGGGGACCCATGAGACACCCCCATCTGCAGCCCTGGACACATCCAATGTGATGGTCAAGAAGCAGGTGTTTGAGCTGCTGGCCGCCCTGTGCATCTACTCGCCCGAGGGCCACGCACTGACCCTGGATGCCCTGGACCACTACAAGGTGAGTGCCGGGCTGTGGCTGGGCGCAGGACCGCCCCAGAGCACACTGACCCCACCCTCCCTGCAGACGGTGTGCAGCCAGCAGTACCGCTTCAGTGTCATCATGAACGAGCTCTCTGACAGTGACAATGTGCCCTACGTGGTCACCCTGCTCAGCGTGGTCAACGCTGTCATCCTTGGCCCCGAGGACCTCCGTACCCGTACCCAGCTGCGGAGCGAGTTCATCGGTAACTGCCACCCAGCCTGGTACCCTCTGCTGCCCAGGGCTCCTGACTGCCCTCCTCCTAGCCAGGCACCTGGCAGTTCTTCCCAAGAGTCCCCTGGGCCAGCCCAGCCCGGGCCACCCCTTGGGGAGGTGGGATTACAGCAAGACCTGCCCCAACCCCCAGGAGCTGGGCAAGGGCACTGTTCCAGGGTAGGGGAGTCTCCTGCCACCACTGTGCCTTTAGTGGCCACAGGCCTCAGAACTGGACATCCGTCTCCGTTTAGAGGCTGGTTGGGCAGCAGAAGGAGAAGGGTAGTCTGGTCCCTAATTGCAGTCCTGCCCACTCTGGCAGTGACCACTGAAGGAGTACCATGGTGTAGCCAACATGTTACCCACCTCTGGAGCCTCAGGACCCTGATGTCCTGTGAGCCGGGTGACGTGTGCAGTGGGGTGAATGGGCAGTGATGGTAAAAGACTCAGATACGAGGCAGGAGACCCGGGGGACAGAGGCAGCCTCTGAACCCTCTGCCCCCCCCCCCCATCCCTTTCCAGGGCTGCAGCTCCTGGACGTTCTGACCCGACTGCGGTGAGTCCCTGCTGTGGCTGGTCCTGCTGGCCACCCCTCTGCTCCCCAGACCGAGCCCACCTTCCCTGGTGTCCTAGCCTGGCCCTAACAGACCTTAGATGGCAGAGGTAGCTTCCAGGAGAAGCCCCAGTGGCCTGCCCCGAGGCCGGGTCTCAGGCTGGCACCCGGTGCTTGAGTAGCCAGACACAGTGCGAGACATTCGGGTGGTTCAGACCGAGCCCAGGGATCCCCAGGAGTCACGCTGGCAGCCTTTCATCCCTCCTCTGAATCAAGTGTGTTCTAGTTGCTGACTCGGAATCCTACCCTGCCAGACCCACCTGGCCAAGAACCCCCATCTCAACCTCAGGACTATACTTAGGGTGGACTCCCACCCGGGAAGCCAGCCTGAGGGACTCAGCAGGGCCTGGTTCTGTCAAGCTAGCCTTGGGCAAAGGTCTGCTGAGTGGATGGCAGGCCAATTTGGGGGTGGGGGTAGGGGCTGGCCTTGCCTGCTGAGGGCTTTGCTCATTGGCCAGGCTGAGCTGACTGGCAATGCCTGAGCCCAATGAACACTCAGGCCCTCCTGCTGGGGCCAGAAGCCCCGCCCCCTGCTCCCAGGTAGGCCTGGTGGACCTGCCTCAGGTGTGCTCTTGACCACACCCTCCCATCCTCCGGAGGAAGTCCTGGCTCTACCCTGCACTTAGCCCTCAGGAGAACGTGAGCTTCGTTTATGAGGGGTGTGGAGATGCCCAGGTGGGCAGCCCAGCAGGTGGCGAGGCTCAAACCTGAGCCCACCTCTCAACCTGCTACCCCTGGCTGCCGTGGCCACATGTCAGACACAGGGATGTCCAGGAGACTTGCTCAGTGTCCTCGGGTCAGCAGAGCAGGAACAGATGTGCAGCGGGGCCCTGGGCCACCCTGTCTCGCGTTCCTGGGGAAGCAGGGCTGATGGGAGCAGCAGGTCAGCTGGCCCCGGTCCCTCCTGCCCCAGAGACCTGGAGGACGCTGACCTGCTGATCCAGCTGGAGGCCTTTGAGGAGGCCAAGGCAGAGGACGAGGAGGAGCTGCAGCGTGTGTGCAATGGCCTCAACATGAACAGCCACCAAGAAGTCTTTGCATCCCTGTTCCACAAGGTGTGTTTGGGCTGCGCATGGGTCAGACCCTCCTGTGACCTGGGCAGCAGAACGAGGGTCACACTCCAGGGGGCAGCAAGGGATGAGGGCGCAGAGGTGAGGCAGAGCCCAGAGCAGGCAGCCTGGGAATAGGGTTGGGGCTGCAAGATCCAGAAGGATCGGTTCCAAGGGCCAGGGCTGCCCTGAGTTGACCATGCCATCCTGGGCCCCGGCTCGCTGGTCACTGTCAGAGGACTTTAGGGAACTACAGGGCCAGTTGAGAGTCTAGGAGACTGAGTTTGAGAGCACCCAGGCCCTCCCTCTAGCTCACTGACTCTGCACCACCCAGAAACATCGGAGACATTTTGGTTTGGTCACTACTAGGCAGGGCATGCTCCTGGCATCAAATGGGTGAAAACCATGGATGCCATTTAATATCCCATAATGCACCAAACAGTCCCCAGAGTCACCAGTAACACAAAGAACCCTGTCTCTGAGTTGCTCGTCACCAGGCCTTCAGCTATGTGAAGGGGTCAGTGGGGACGGACGCCCTTGGCAGACAGGCAGAGGAGGGCACTGCCACTGACCTGCCCTTTGTCGGCCTGCCCCGCTCAGGTGAGCTGCTCTCCGGTGTCAGCCCAGCTGCTGTCAGTGCTACAAGGCCTCCTGCACCTGGAGCCCACCAGCCGCTCAGGACAGCTGCTCTGGGAGGCCCTGGAGAGCCTGGTGAACCGGGCCGTGCTCCTGGCCAGTGATGGTGAGCAGCGGGGTGAGCCAGGCAGGCAGAGGGGTCAACCTGGTGGGAAGAAGCAGGTCTTAGACCATGTGGGGAGGCCCACCCTGACCCCTAACCCATCCTCTTGTCTGAGGGAGGTGGCCTCCTTCTGTCTCTGTCCCCAGCCCTCTCTCTTAACCCTGGACATCTCCCCTGCTGCAGCCCAGGAATGCACCCTGGAGGAGGTGGCTGAGCGCCTGCTGTTCAGCAGAGGGAGGCCCCGACCCACCTCCCTGGACAAGGCCCACAAGAGCATCCAGGCCAACCTAGGCCAGAGTCCAAGGGACAGGTCCCCCCCAAACACTACTGCTCCCATGGCTGGCATGGAGGGTCAGCAGCAGGCCGCAGCTCCTGCCCACCAGCACCCAGTTGGCCTCCAGAGTCCCAGTGGGGAGACAGCCCCCCAGCAGCCAGCACACCCCCCACCCCCACCCGCACCGCCCCTCCCCAGTTCCAGCCCTGGGCCCCTTTCACCCCCACCTTCCCTGCCAAGCCTGGAAGCTGTGTCTCCCCCAGTACCCCCTCCACCTCCATTGCCAGGCCTAGGATCCATGTCTCCTCCCCCAGCACCCCCTCCACCCCCACCTCCTTTGCCTGACCTGGGGACCACTCCTTCCCCAGTACCCCCTCCACCTCCCTTGCCAGACCTGGGGACCACGCCTCCCCCAGCACCCCCTCTGCCACCTCCCCTGCCTGGCTCCTGCGGGATCTTGCCCCCACCACCTCCTCCACTCCCCCCCCCACCGCCTGGAGGGGGCTGGGGCCCCCCTCCACCTCCAACCCTGCCTGCGGGTGGCGTGGAAGAGCTCATTGTGGCCCACGTGGACCACAGCCTGGGCTCGGCCTGGGTCCCCAGCCACCGCAGGGTGAACCCACCCACACTGCGCATGAAGAAACTGAACTGGCAGAAACTTCCGTCCAACGTGGCCCGAGGTGAGGCTGCGGAGCCCGAAGGCTGGTGCCACACGAGAGGTGCTGGGGAGGGGTGGTGCACCTGCATTTGCCCACTCTTGCATGGCCAGGGCAGCCTGGGTCCTGCTCGGGCTCAGTTTCATGTGGTTTGGTGTCGGGCAGGGCCGGAGCAAAGCAGAGGCTTCCTTTGAGGTCCCTCTGGTCCTGTGGGCAATGTGCATCTCTGATACTACAGCCCCTGCCCAACCCTGTGCCTGGCACCCTGGGTCCTGGGGTGCTGATGCTCAGAGAAAGCCAAGGCCAGACAGGGCAGGTCACCTACCATGTGGATACATGAGTGCATGTCCACATACATGCACAGAGTAGAATAGCAGCCAGGGGTCTTCCTTTGCCAGGCACTTATTAAACGCCTGCTGTATGCTTGGCCTAGGGCGGCGTCCAGGCAAGGTACCCTTGACAGCCCTCAGAGGCCTGGCCCACCTGGCCCTGGCCCCCCAGACCTGGGAGGGGGTGTGAGCTTGATGGTGGTGCCCCTCTCCTGCCCCTCGCCTGCAGAGCGCAACTCCATGTGGGCGACACTCAGCAGCCCTGGCACAGACGCGGTGGAGCCTGACTTCTCCAGCATTGAGCGGCTCTTCTCCTTCCCCGTGGCCAAGCCCAAGGAGCCCACAGCTGCCCCAGCCAGGAAGGAGCCCAAGGAGGTAGGCATGGGGCAAGGATCATCAGGGTCCCCCCATGTCACCCCCTGGGACCCATTCATGTGGCGGTTTTCCAGGTCACTTTTCTTGACTCCAAGAAGAGCCTGAACCTCAACATCTTCCTGAAGCAGTTTAAGTGGTGAGCCTCTCCGGCCAGCCCGGCCGGCAGCGCCCTCTGCGGGCTACTCTGGGGCAGTGCATGCTCCTTCCCCAGGGCAGGAGACCCTAGAGGCCGCCAGTCCTAGCTCTTGAGGAAAAAGGCCCAGAGCATCCAGGACTTCCCCCCAGGTTATGGACAAGCTGTGGCCAGTCAGTCACATGGTCCCCCTCCCAGCCCAGGTTCTGCCATGCTGCAGCTCAGGCACTGGCCCCTGCAGGAGCTCACTGGGTGACCCTGAGCTGTGTCCACCCACCCCGTCTCCTAAGCAGCCCTCTGGAAGGGGGATACTGACAGGGAGTGAGCCGTTGGACCCTACCCTCATCGTCACGTGACCCCCTCCCCTCACCACTTCAGCTCCAACGAGGAGGTCACCGCCATGATCCGGGCTGGGGACACCACCAAGTTTGACGTGGAGGTTCTCAAACAGCTCCTGAAACTACTTCCAGAGAAGCACGAGGTGAGCTGGGACCCTGGCCCCCGAGCAGGCAGCAGGGAGGGTCCCAGCACCTCTCCACCCCAGGCGGTACAGCTGCAGGTGGTGTAGGCTGGGAGCAGCCCCGGAGGCCTTCCTGAGGAGGAGGGCTGGCGTGCACACCGGCCCACACGTGGTCTCCTCTGGCAGATCGAAAACCTGAGGACATTCACAGAGGAGCGAGCCAAGCTGGCCAACGCCGACCAGTTCTACGTCCTCCTGCTGGACATTCCTTGGTGAGTAGCCTGCCCAGAACCCAGGGAGGGAGAGGGCAGAGGGGCCCTGGAGCAGAGGGGCCCTGGACAGCTGTCTGGCTGCCAACATCGCTCCTGCCCCACATCCCCCACCCATTCCCTCAAAGAGGGGGCTCTGGGGCTCCCAAGAAGACCAGGGTCTTCCTGAGAAGGCCTCTCCAGCCCAGGCTGCCCTGGCTCTAGGGGAATGGGGTCTTTCCCTAGGCCCCTGCCTGGGCCCACCTCATCCTGGGGCAGACCCTAAAGAGCATGTGGAAGGGTCCAGGCTGTGGGACCCCTCCTCTGCCCTGCCCACCAACTCTGTGCCCAGTGGACTCTTAGAGCCCCTACACTGCAGAGTCAGGCAGGCTTTGGGAGCCCCCAGCCCTGACCCCTGCTCTGCCCGGACAGCTACCAGCTGCGGTTGGAGTGCATGCTGCTGTGTGAGGGCACGGCCATTGTGCTGGACATGGTGCGACCCAAGGCCCAGCTGGTGCTCGCCGCCTGTGAGAGTGAGTGGGGCTGGGGAGCCTGGGGACGGGCCTACCAGCAGGAGGGGACGGGGGCTCCTGCTCTAGGCCGAGTTGTGGTAGCTGCAGAGGGCCCATGGGGTGCCCACCCCCACCTCACCAGAGACCACCTTGTCTCCACTGCTGCCCCCGCCAGAGACACAAATGCATCAGACACACATGCGCACGCAGTGTCCTGCACACACAGGCACAAGCGAGGGCAGACTAATGCGTGCACATACCTGTCAGACGCGCGCGCACACACACACACACACACACACACACACCTCAGACACATACACATACATGCACACACCTGTCAGACCCACACATACACACACACATGCACCTGTCAGACACACACATGCACACATATGTGAGACACACACGCACACCTCAGAAACATACACACACCTCACACACGCACACGCACATACACACACCTGTCAGACACACACGCAGACACAGGTGCACATGCAGACTGCCACCTGTGAGGAATGGGCAGGGGTCTGCCAAACCACAGAACAGGGACACAGGTGGGACCCGATGACCAAGGCGCAGTGGACGTCCCCTCCCATCTCAGCCACTGAGCCAGGAGGGCTCCCTGCTGCCCAGAGGGGTGCTTAGCTGAGAAAGAGGGCATTGAGGGTTCCAGAAGGTTCCTCCCAGTACCCTGGTGGCCCTAGTGGAAAAACAGGTGGTGGTCATCTGTCCCAGGGGTTGTGAGAAGACCTCCGCCCCAGAGCCTCTGAGCTTGGTGATGAAGGGCTCATGCCCACTGAACCCCTGCCCCGTGTTCTCTCCCATGTTGGGCTGAGTTGGGGCAAGGGGCTTGAGGGTGGGGAGGGAGGAACAGACCCCACGCCAGGGCACCTGGGCCCTGGGGCCTCTGTGCCCGCCTTCAGCCCTGCCCGCCCGCAGGCCTGCTCACCAGTCACCGGCTGCCTGTCTTCTGCCAACTGATCCTGAAAATCGGGAACTTCCTCAACTATGTAAGTCAGGGACCTGCCCCTCCGCCCTCTAGGCCCCGGAGTGACAGGGAGACTCACTCCTGGTCCCTCCCAGGGCAGCCACACCGGGGACGCTGATGGCTTCAAGATGAGCACCTTGCTGAAGCTCACAGAGACCAAGTCGCAGCAGAACCGGGTGACGCTGTTGCACCACGTGCTGGAGGTGGGCCCCAGCAGGATGGGCAGGCTGGAGTGTCCCCTCTGCCCAAGCCCCCACCCCAGCCTCCCCAGGACTCCCTGCAGCCTGCTGGAGCCACGCCACGGCCCCTCCCCAGCACGCCTCCCTCCTGCAGTCCCCGTGCCATGATGGTCCTCCATCCCGCCCCAGGACACCCACCCCTGTTGGGAGTGAGGCAGCCCCAAGGCAAATCACACCTCCTCAAGATCATAGCCAGGCCACAGGGAAGGGTCCAGAGGACCCAGGAGGGCCCCAGGGCTGAGGACTTCCTGGGCCTCATTGCTCCGAGTTTGAGCCGGGGCAGGGGCATCCCCAGGTACGTGGGGGGCCAAAGTAGGGTCTCATAGATGCATCCCATTGCAGGAAGTGCAAAAGAGCCACCCTGACCTCCTGCAGCTGCCCCAGGACCTGGCACAGCCCTCCCAGGCCGCAGGGTAGGCAGCTCTCCCCAGCCCACCCCTGCAGCCCAGGCCAGACCTCAGCCCTGAGCTCTGGTCCCCACCACGAGGCACCGGCGGGCTGGGTCTCTGGCACCTGGAGTGTACGAAGCCTAAGGCCCCAGTAGGGTGTGGGCAGGGCCCCACAGTCGCAGTGTGGCTGGATCTCAGCTACCCCCTGACCAGGCCCAACCCTTTGACGCCTTTCAGAATCAACCTGGAGGTTATCCGCTCCGAAGCCAGCACCAACCTGAAGAAGCTTCTGGGGACGGAGCGGAAGGTGTCCACCTCTGACCCTGAGGTGCAGGAGCAGTATGCCCAGCGCCTCCAGGCAAGCAGCAGGGGCCCTGGGGCTGGCAGCCAGGCTGCCGGGTGGGCTCCCCCACGTCGGTCCTGGGCTGACACCTGTGCCTGGAGGCTGTGGCTGCCACCTCCTGATGCAGGGGGGTCCCACCCTACCCTTGGGCCCAGCCTGGGAGCCCTGGGTGGTGACCAAGCCCCTGCCATCAGGACAGCATCGCGGCCTCCCAGGCTTTGGACGAGGTGTTTGACACCATCGAGCAGAAGAAGCTGGAGCTGGCCGACTACCTGTGTGAGGACCCCCAGCAGCTGTCCCTGGAGGACACCTTCAGCACCATGAAGACCTTCCGGGACCTCTTCACCCGTGCCCTGAAGGTGAGCCAGGAAAGGCCCCGGGCAGAGTTGCCCCTCAGTCTAGGGGGTGTGGGTGGGTCCAGCCACGTGAGCCAGCCTGGCCTCTCCCTTGTGCCCCTGCAGCCCAGGGAGGGGGACATGCCCACCGAAGGCTCACAGGGTGACTGGGGGCTGGAGAGCTGGGCAACGGGGCTCCTGTCTGCCTGCACAGGAGAACAAGGACAGGAAGGAGCAGGTGGCAAAGGCGGAGAGGAGGAAGCAGCAGCTGGCAGAGGAGGAGGCACGGAGGCCGCGGGGCGAGGATGGGAAGCCTGGTGAGGCCTGGGGGGGCAGAGCCAGGTGGGGTGCCTCCCCCCAGACACCGCCCCAAGCCTCTCCTGCGGCTGAGAGCAGCTCTCTGCCCGTCTCTGGCTCCTCAGTCAGGAAGGGCCCTGGGAGGCAGGAGGAGGTGTGTGTCATCGATGCCCTACTGGCCGACATCAGGAAGGGCTTCCAGCTGCGCAAGACGGCCCGAGGCCGGGGGGACAGCGAGGTGGGCAGCAAGGCCTCAGCAGAACTCCCGCGGGCCACAGTGCCAGGTGAGACCCTGGCCCTCCTCCTCTCTTTGGGTTCCCTGGGGGCACTGGAGGGAGGGGACAGCAGGGGGCAGCTCTGACCGTGCGGCAAAGGGGGCTGCCCCGGGGTGGGTGCGTCTGTCCAGCCTCTGAGCAGCCAGGAGACATGGGGGATGGTGCCCACTGCGTCCCTGGGGCTCGAGGACCTGAGGTGGTGGGACAGACAGGCCTCGGGGAGAGGCCCCCATTCCCAGGTGGCCACCTCAGGATCTGGGGACAGGGGTGGCTCATGTGGCCCCTTGGGTACCCTCTATTGTCCATGTTGTGGGCAGAGTGAGGATGCAGGACCCTGTCCAGCCTGAGGGAAGCCACACATGGGGACCCCTGAAACAGTGGAGTTTAAGGAGTCAGATGAGCCTGGGGGTCGGTCAGGAGGGCTGTCCAGGGAGGGGCTGGGCTGGCCCTTCACTGACACGTCCCTCCATCTACAGCAGCCGCCAGTGACCCTGCACAGAGCCCCCGTGAGGATGCCAGCCACCCCGCCCCTGAGCTGGGCCTTAATGCTGCTGCAGCTGGGAGGCCACAGGGCTGGGACCTTGTGGATGCTGTGACTCCCAGCCCAGGGCCCCCTGGGGAGGAGGGCAGTCCGCGGCCCTTGGAGAGGCGCTCCTCCTGGTACGTGGATGCCAGTGACTTCCTGGCCCCCGAGGACATGCTGAATCCCCAGCCTCCCGAGGGGGCCTGGCCAGTGACTCTGGGAGACACCCGGGCCCTGAAGCCCCTCCAGTTCTCTGGAGACAAGCCCCCCGGGGCCGAGAGTTCAAGCCAGGACCCGGAGGAACTTGGAGGCTTGCAGGGCGTCCACCAGGCCAAGGCACACGGCACAGGCCAAGGACCAGAGGACACAGCTATCCAGGGCCAAAGTGCTGGCCTCCCTGCCACAGGCCCTGGTGGGGACGAGGATGAGGAAGACACAGCCCCTGAGTCTGCACTGGACACATCCTTGGACAAGTCCTTCTCCGAGGACGCAGTGACAGACTCCTCGGGGTCTGGCACCCTCCCCAGGTCCCGAGGCCGGGCCTCAAAGGGGACAAGCAAGCGAAGGAAGAAGCGTCCCTCAAGGAGCCAGGAAGGTAACTTGGGGCCAGGCCAGCGCAGGTAGGGCTGCCGGCCTGTGGTCAAGCTCTGCGCCCCACACGGGCCCCGGCCTCTCCCTGCTGCCAGCGGCCCCTCTCCTGTCCTCTCCAGGGGTGCTGCAGGCGCAACCCCACCCTGGAGAGGGTTGAATAGTCTTGGGCGCGCCGCCCAGGGAAGCAAGCCACACACAGGCGGGCAGCTATGGGGGCCTCCGCTGACAGGTTGCTGCTCCCCTGACCCACTGTCCCTGCC